CCCCAAAACCCCAAAACCCCAAAACCCCTTTTAAGGACTAGGTTTTGAAAATTAGTTTTGAGGGTGTTAAGAGAGGATTTGTTGGATGGAGCGGGATAGGAGGAAGAGAGGGAAGGGGGTGGGGAGATGGGAAGGGAGGAAGGGTGGGATGGAGGGATAGAGGGATAGAGGGATAGAGGGGATTTTATGTAGAGAGCATGATGGAAGAGAGGGATAAAGGGGCTTGGGAGATATGGAAGGGGATTTTAGGGAGGGTTTGTTGTTTTTTGTGAGTTTAGGATGTTTTAATAGTTCTCTAGTCGAAAAAGAGCCTAGGTTTCTTATGTTTTGCCTAATTATGAATTTATGGGAAATCGTTAGCAAACTATATATCCAGCCCATAATTTAGCAAAAATGATCCCAACTAAAGCAATTATCACTATCTCTAACACTTTCTTTAAACACTTTAAACACTTCATCCACACCAACCCTACCAGAAGTTTCATATCCATCCCTTATGAAAAATTCATTCAAAAATTATATCCCTCTCTTTTCCCCATCCCTTATCCCATTCAATCCTTACATCTCTCTAAACCCCCATCTCCCATCCCATAAACCCCCACAACCCCCTATCTCCCCTTTCCCTCCGCCAGCCTCTCTCCCCAAAACCCATCCACTTAATTCCAAAACCCCTGCCTCTTTCTCCAAAAACCAAAAGTGCCCAAATCTTCTAAATTATTTAAATTTTATTAACATTTCCTAACTTTTGGTTTTTTCTTAAAAAACTCTAAATTTTGTGACTAAAATTCAGACTCAAAGGGGTTTGTACGAAGAAATTCAGTTAAAATTTATGAAGAAGTAGGGTGCCGGAGGTAGGTTTAGAGTAAAATTTAGGCATTTTAGGTATTTTTCTAGGTTTTGGTTGGGTGCAGATAAGATTTTTAGAGGGGTTTTGGGAGAAGATTGGTTTAGAAGGGATTTTGTGTGAGCGATAGAAATGGGAGGGAGATTGGAGAGGATGAAATAGTAGAGAATGTATATATGGGATCATTTTGGGAGGTTGTGACTCAAGAGTGCTTTGTTCTATTATAAGATAGAAGAAAGAAGGGGTTTATTAAATTGGATATTAATTTTATGGTAGGTTTATCAGGTCTGAAGTTTCTATATATTTTTCTGTTTAATTCATGTTTATATAAACCTAACGAAATTATTCTTATCTCGATACTTTAACTATTTGGATTTGGAGTATCTCCATATGTTTCCCAGAAAATGTGAGTCAAAGGTTTTATAATAAATTGTTAGATATAAAAATAGAGTATTATATAATCAGTAAACGATACTTGAGTACGGATGTTTACTGACATTCAAATTTATAATCATTCAGAGCAATGGGCAGGTTGATCTGAAAAACTCCTTGTTGTGTCAGGAACTCGTTTAGAAGTCCCTCCTTACTACTCATCAGAGAGCTCTTAGGCTTAACGAAGAGATAGCTTAGATTTCCTTCAGTTGCCTGGGAGCTTTCAGTTTTAGCTGACCTTGGGCTCATTTCACAGCTCAGATTCTTCATATCATTGATGGCTTGGAAGGGATTCAAAGCTTCGTTCTTCTCAGTGTTGACCTTTAGCATGGCGAGTTTCATCTTTTTCCTCTTCCTATAGTAAATGTTTAGTAAGCAGTACTAAAATTGGAAAGAGAAAGAAATAATTTTCCAAAATTTTAATAACAAAATATCTAGAAAACAACTACTACATTCTACGTCTAGGTTTACCGTAGCCACTAGCTTACATTAAGAGGTTGCTTGCAGGAACACTTTTGGTTTCTAGCCTAAATTTGGGAAAGAGCCTCTTTTTGAGAGGTTTTAAGGGGTTTTAGAGGGGAATGGGGTTTGGTTTTGGAGTTTTCCAGAGGGAGGATGGTGAGTTGTTTGCAAGAGGTGGGCTTGTGAGGGGGTGAAGGGAGTGACGGGAGAGATGCCGGGGTTGTGAGGGTATCCATTCTATTATCCTTAGTCATAATTATTAAATTAATGTAGACAAATACAATTAATTTATATACCCACGGGGTTTTGGGGTTTTGGGGTTTTGGGGTTTTGGGG